TCGTGTCGGTGCTGGTGGGGAGCCTCACCCGGCTGCTTTGGGGTTTATTGGTTTATTATTATTTTGGTTTATTTTTAATTGGAAGATGGACTCAAGGCCAGCGGGAGGATAAGGTGGAGCTGGAAGGGTGAAGAAGACAGCCTCCATCGTGCTGCCTGCGTGGTCCCACCCAGTCCGGCGGAACTGGGGACATCCCTCGGGTCCCACCAGTGCTGGGGAGGTGACACCCCGCAGCTGAGCTCCCCGGGGACTCGCTGCACCACAAGCTTTGGGGTGCCTGTAGGTGAGGTTTGGGGCGTGAGGCCGCCCAGATCCAGGCTCTCACCCTCGCTCCCCGGCTCCCGGAGGAGCCCTCCCTTGGGCTCACCACCTGCCCAGCCTTTTTATTTTTAAAAATAAGAAGTTTTTGGAGTTGGATGGGTGCCGGTGAATGCCAGATGGCGAAGGCAGGTTGCCCCCAGCCCGCACGTGGTTTTGGTCTGAGACCCGCTTTCCGCCACGGGGACTCCTCCTTCTCCTCCTCCTCCTCCTCTCTCCATTTCTCTGGTGTAATACTCCGGCACATTTTTGGTCTTCCTCATTCCCCTCTCCCATCTCCTCCTTCCATTTCCCCCAGCGCCGGGCAGGGAACGGAGCGGTCGCGGTCACGGTCACGGTCGGTCATGGTCGTGGTCGTGGTCGCACGGCTCTCCTGCCAAACGGAGGGCAACGGTCCCCCCTCCGGGATGAGGCAGCCGCGAAGGACAACTTCTTTCTCCATCAAACAGTCAAATTTAGAAGAGGGATGCGAAAACTCAAAGTTCGGACCCCGCGGATGACCCACCTGGGAGGGAACCAGCGGAGTCGCGGAGGACGGAACTCAATTCTCCACCGCTTTCTTAAGACGGAAAAAAAGAAGCGCACTTAAAAACCGTCAAGACGCTTCCAAATTGGAAAGCCAGCTCTTCGTTACGGCATTAACGCACCCGGCGCGTTCCAAACGAGGGGCAAATCGCAAACCTCTCGACGACAGATCTTCCCC